GCTGGGAACGAACCGTTCACCTTAATCGAATTATTTTGAAGTTAATGAAGGGTTTGATTGTGTAACTGAAGCCTCGCCTGGAACAAAAACCATCAGGTGTGTGGATCACCGGGGCCAGGAGTGGGAGCCACTGGTGTAGACGCTACAGGAGGCAACGTGTAGGGATCGATGTCAACCAGACTACAGGGCGCTGTAGTGATCATGCCCTGGGACTTGTAGCACAGCCCTTCCTGACAGCTCATCCTGACATGAAATCATTCCAGGACAACACAGGTCTTCACGCTGCTCAAGGGAAATGGTGTTATGCAAGCTAGTACGATGCGTAGGATCTAGGACTCGGAGAGCAGTAGATAGACACATGGTCATCCCGGTTCCGCTAGAGGAATGGGACAGAACCCTAAAAGACATCTTTAACCTCACAAACCTGTGTTGCAGATGTGCTGCTAGTTTTGTTTCCAACTGTGACCTCATGTTTTACAAGCCTGTGACTTCCACAGTAGGTACCCTGGTGATCAACCTTGTTGAAATTCCATTTTGTATGTGCCGAATGAGCTAAGGACTTATCTTATATGTAAGTTACTTAGAAAGACTTTTCTATGACCATACAATCATAATACATTTATGTATTGATCTGATCTCTAAATATACATAAGGTGTGAATGAAAATGATTAATTCACAGTTCAATTAAATTCAATTAAAATATTTTTTAAATTTGTTTTACATCTATGTGAAGCATTTGGTAATTATATCTAAAGAACATTTTTGATGTTTCACAATTGTTGTTTTCTAATGCTTTTGAAAAAAAGTGATTACAATTTTCTAACATTTGCAAAAAATAAGGATGGAAAATGCTTTGATTGCCATCATAGAGTAATATAACTAGAAACATCTGTTGTCTACTAAAATGTAATTGGAGATCACAAGGATGAGCTATATTGCCTTTGATATGCTGCTGAATCTTCTTCAGCAATTTTAATATTTCATTTATTTTGTAGATAACATTTTTCATTACAGCATTATCATTACAGCTCCTGTAGTTATTGGATACAGCTCATAGTTTAAATCAGGTGAAATAGAGTATTACAGTACCCTCCAAAACTACAATATTGTCAACTAGGTTTGTCATTCAGAATTTTCTCCAAATTTGCTCCCGGTGGATTGCAAACCATTAATCCAAACAGCCATCTAGTGGTCTCACATTATTATTGCAACCAGATAATATTCTATTGAGTGTAATGGCTCTCTATATTGGTTGGGCACTTCATACAATACCACTCATGTCACAGGAAAGATTAAAACAGTGTAAAGTAAACATTAGATTTGTTCCTAGCATTCTCAGAATTCCAAAGGGCTATAACTCCAGGATTTTTTTTCAAATGCTTTCAAATTTTTTCAAAGAAATCTTGTTTTCTAATTTGTATAACGTCATTTGTAGTGCTCCTGCCTCTCCATGTTTAAATTTAGGTGCTCATGTAATAGAAATGCATGCTCATGTTTTTCAAAAGTGTCTAAACGAATAAATTTGTCTTGTTTTGAGTTCAGAACACTTTCAGTTTGTACAAAATACCACTCTGACATCTGACATTTTAGGGAATACTAGTAGCAGTGATCTGACTTTTAGTAACTATTCAAGGTAGCATATAGTGTACAGTGTTCTGTCTGAATACAGGTTAGGCAATGTCTCAAATAACATTATGGTCTCATTGACATTACAAACTTTACAAAAATTAATTTTGAATTCAAAAGAGGTTAAAAAACGACAGCTAAAACAAATGTTTCTATATAATATCGAAATACTGTTGAGCTGGTTAGCACTGCTTCCACTCTGAGATTTTCTAGTCTGTGGCTCTTAAACTGCCCTGACTCGTATCAAGGCTGGATAGGTGAAATGATGCTAATAAGATCACAAAGACTGAAAGTTTTTTATTAATTATAATGTATTGACTTATAATAATAAAACCCATAGGGGTTTTATTTAAACTTGGATACATTGCTGCAGTTTTCATATTCATAAATCAAAATGACACCTTTGTCTTTTTTTAGCTGCCAACAAAAATAATCTTATAGTAAGGCAATAAACATTAGTACATGGAAGAATTAATCCACAATACATTTCAACTATAGCATATAGAAATATATAGAAATATCCCCACCAAGATCCCAGAGGTGATGTTTCGGTTTCCATAACAACTTCTTTCAAGAATTCATGTATTTTGTTATTCAATGTCAGTATTATGACTGTCAGAATCATGCAAAGATGAGCTCAATTCATTCACTTTCCCCAGATTATCCACCAGGCCAACAAGTCTGCACAGCCACATCTTGCCTTTGCAAACTTTCTCCAGGGGAGGCCAATGGACTTTCCATTGCTGACGGAGTATCAGCTCAGTATGCAGTGACCCATTGTGGTATATAAAACCTCGACTTGATCAGATTTCTAACTTTGCCTACTGTTATTAGGCAGCAGAGCACTTTTAGCAACAGACTGCTCCAGCTATGGTGTTCAAGGGAACGTTTCCGCAGATCCTTCCTCTGTCAAGGTGTACAACACTGCCCTAGGCTAGGACTGTTAGCCCTTCATTTGCTCGTCTGTGGACAGCATGTTGCTCCATTGTACTTTTTTTGGACACTCAATCTGTATATACCTATGCACATTTTGCACATATTTTATTGTTTTTACAGTGACTATGAGCCTATTTTGCACGTACATATGCATTTATTTTATATTTATTTTGTATTACTGTACTTTTTTTAATTTTTCATCTGTTTTTGCTTGTCTTGGGCTGGGCTGCTGTAACACCTCAATTTCCCTTCGGGATCAATAAAGTCTTATCTATCTATCTACTGTATTCATGCTAATGTGCTATTCTGCCGAGGCTAAGTGTGTGATGCAATGGCTCCACTGCACTTCTGGATTCTCTATTTTGATCCGTGCAATCAAGAACATTTTCCTTTCATTGAAGGAGTACCATCAGCAGACACAATGACCATTTCTAATATGTGCCAAAGGACTTTGAAAGAGACTGTCAATTATTTTGAAAAGTTCTTCAAAGGCAGTTCTGGTGTGTCCATATTTTGTAGAACAGAAACTGTTCCTGCTTAACCTCAAACCACTTAAGCTTCACTGGCAATATCACTTTATCAGCTAGTTAAATAACTTAATCTGTCGGATTGATAATGTCCTCTGCTATTTCATTGATCTTGGACATCACTGGATTGATGGAGTATGGCACTTTTTAATTGCTGTAACAGCTTCTGAATTTATGTTAGCACTACCTAGAGCCACTGGGCCCAAATATGTTTCTACTATTGTGTGTTTGTAACAACAATACTAGCAACAAAGAAACTGCTTTTGACAATTCCAGTGCTTTTGGTGACTGAGAAGTGGATATCTTTAAAATTGAACTGCTGGTATTTAATTGGTTCAGTTGCCTTTTATAAAACATGAGCGATATTTCTATACTTAATTTGGGCTTTGATTTTAAATGCCTCTGAAGATGTGAAGCTTTCTTATATAAATATCTGACTGAATTTCACACCACCTGCTAACCTTCAGCTGCAATAGTGAATAATTTATACCCAAAATGTCGACACCAGTTCTTGTCAGTTTTAGTTTTTGTCTTTTTCTTAGTAGTTGGTTCAGTGGAGGAAACAGTGGCACTCAGTTCACTCTCTTTACATTTTTATTTCACTGTCACAAACTGATCTATCCTTTCTATTCATTTTCTGACCCAGTTTTTTAAGGACCTCAATTCTATGTTGATATAGCATGAAATGATTACATGAAATTAATCTCTGAGTTAACAATACCTGTAAACTGCAAAAAGAAAAAAAAACAGGGTTTTTCAGTGCTTCACCTTATCTGTGTAAAAACATATTCGTAGCGTTTTAAACACTGTTCTTATACTGAACAGTTATTAGCCATTTTTATGTTTAGAACCTCAATTCTGCATGGTAAAAATCTGCGCTGCCATTTCTTTTCTGGTCACAGCACTAAAATAAACCCAACAACATAACTGTTACTGCTACTGAGCTGTTACACCTTTATGTGCTATTTCGTGTACACAAACCATAGGTTGAAACCACTGACATACATTATGTACAGTTCAAAGCAGCTTATTAAACCACAAGAATAAGGGTCACTGTGCAGAACATATAATCTGCGTAAGGTCTGGAATATTGTTTACAAGGTCAAGCATTATTTAAAATGTGCAAATTTTCATTTTTTAAAAAAAGGTTGTTTGCCCCAGACTAAGGTCATTGTCTTTGTTGACAATGTTAGTGGAAGTATATCTGCATTCAAAGTCAAATTACTCAAGGAGTGCTTATTTTTAAATTACAGCCAGCTGGAAAAAAAGTATGTTATAATGGAGTACATACAGGTAAAAGATCCAACATTGATCAGATTCCAGACTTTGCATGCATTAGCATTAATGCCTGACTACAAATACAATTAACCCAAGTTCAGACCATGAACACATGCATTTTTTAATTGGCTCATTTAGTTAATTTTATAAGTGCAGTAATGTTTTCCAGCCACTGCACTTTACATTTCTAATTAAAATTACAGACTAATGATGCCCTTGATACCACAGTGGCATAAAAAACGATAATGTAATTATGTCATGATGTAGTGGTGGCAGTTATGCACGATGTCCTACAGAACACATTACCTTGCATGAATGTTTTTTTTTAATTATTAAAACGTGCACTTCAGGTTTCTGATCAAACTGTTTACTTTGATTAAAGGTCCATGACTAAAAGCCTATCTCTGCATTTATTATCTGGGCCTATACCTCAGAGGTTATATGTAAGGGTTTAGAAATTCATCTGCCAGTGCTACAGCCTTCTTATTTAAAAAAAATCTATGCATATCAAATCTTATTAACTTTCTAGCATCTTGCACAAGCATATGTCGAATCTTATTAAAAACTGTATTCCCTGAAATTAAGCAACAAGACTAAAGCTTGGATTTGACACCAACATAGGAAGATAGAGATATTACGAGAGCCATTTTTAATACTTGAATCCAATCAACAAAAAATGGCACAGTTGAAGCAGGTCTGGAGATGAATGTCAGTCTTTTCTCAGGTTGCTTATTGGACAATTTAAAGTTAGTTTCCCTAGTCCGTCCAGTCATTCTTCATCAGCATCTTCAGTCATAACCTGAAATTTACAAAATACATTATGCATAAACAGTTTCCTTTATTTTATACAATAATAACTATACCAGTCCTTCATTCACAATTGTTCACCATTTGACACATTTCTGCAAATCAAACACTTAGTTTAAGGTGACCTAGAAACAATTTTAGAAGAGTCCTTTTTATTGTGTATTTAGTTGGCCCTAATGGATCACAGCTTTAAAATATATTAACTGAAATGAACAGCTGGTACTGGATCTGATGTATTTATTATTTATTGAGCAACAACCCTAGAATGCTACCCAATTACAGAGGTAATATAATAGCATGTCCTAAGCTACAGAAATAGAAGCTAATACTTTATATTGTACAGAAGTGATGAATGTCTGTCTCATTGATCGGCATGAAAAAAAAAAGATTTCCTGCGTCATGAATGTTTACAATGAAATATTCACTAAGTTATTAACCAGTGAAATTTAGAATTTACAGTAAACCACAACATAAAGAGGGAGCAAGCAATAAACAAGTATTTTAAAATAAAAGTTTGAAACATCCAAACACATATAATACCTCTGGATATTACAATCAGTGTCCTTCATACATCCATCAGATGTTCAAAAAGTGACAGCTTCATGAGAAATTATGAGAAGCTGACAGTTGATATTCAGCATTGCTCAGTCCACAAATACATGGAATATTTAAAAATAGAACAGTTTATTTTGATTTTAAATGTTATGCTACAATTCAAATGCTGCAGACATGAGTTATTGTCACATCAGATTATGCCTCGTGTTCCTGACCTTGGAATGAAACTGATTAAGGAACCTGTTGTGCTTGGTAATCATTTTCATTAAGGAAAGGTTAGGTCATAGTAAAAGGTCAATGTAAAATTAGCATTAAGACTCCTTACACTGCTGTAGCCAAAGATTATGTCCCAGTGGAGACATTTTTTCTCTACAAAAGAAGGTAAAATAAGTATACTTAAACCACCGTGCTTAAATATGTCTTCAGCTTTTTAGTTTTAAACCACCTTTTACAGTTACAGCAAATATTGAATCAACATCCGTCTAATTTTATTTAAAGCACAGTGTAGTATTAAGAATATTATACATAATTACACAATAGACATATTCCAGAAAAAAGACTGTGACAAAGCAAAACAAGTGTTTTTGTGTTAGACTTATGTATTCCAGACTAATGTGAAGGTATAGAACATAAGCTTACCACTCAATGAAAGAAAAGACCAGAAAAATGGAAGCAAACCTGTGTGAAAACCACAGTTAAATTTCCTAGCACGTCTGCCATGCATACCTTCATAGTTATAGTAACATATGAAATGTGTCAAGTACTTCATACCAAAGTTTTATTGGCATGCACTGTACCACTATTGACTATTCACCCATAAAGATATTCGGTTTGGCCCTTGCCATGACCTCTAAGTTAAATTCTGGAAGTCAAATGTACGATCAATAGAATACAGTCTAAAAGAATCATAAAATTAACAAAGGGTCCAGTTTTCTTTTTCTCTTAAACTCTTATATTGTTTAACCAGTAAAAGTATGACAACAAAAGCACAAAGGTGAAATAATAGAAACTTCAAGAGAAAAGTAATAACTCACCCAGTAAGGACAGCTCCATTTTCCATGGCCATATTTATTTAGTGCTCGCACAGTGAAAAGATACTGGGCTTTGGGTTTCAGAGGGCCTGCTCTGAAAGAGCACATCTTTATGCCAAAGACCATTTCACCTTGATCTTGAGGCAGAACATTGGTGGAACGGATAGAAACTATTTCTTGAAACTTGACATCAAAAGTATCCACCTGTTCTCCAAGAGGCACCATCCAAAAGATCTGAGAAAAGGAATCACATTCAGAATTACCTTTCAGGTCTAAAAATTATTGCAAGCAGACATCTAAAACTTTTCCATCTGCTGTAAGGAATCAGGTTTATAACAAAGTTAGATGATAAAAACCATCTGGAGTACATTTGTACAAAAGTATAGAGCATAAAACCTATATCTTTAGTAATTTATAATATAAATGTATCCTTCTCAAAATAGCTGAAATATATTTCTGTTAAACAGAACAGTCTAATGTTTTGACTGACACACTTAATGACTTAATTTCTTCTTTGTACAGAAAAAACATGAATGATCACTTAGATAATTTTTCTCTGCAACATTTGTGGACCAATACTTTTCCAAAGAAATTACTGTAATGCCGAATATATTAAGTAATAATATTTCAGTTCTTTTTGTGGTACAGTTTGGGATAAGTGTGTGATGTTTGATGGTAATACAGTATATTAGTCCAAAGGTAATACCTCAGCTGAGACTCCTTTCACATTGTGCTGGTAAATGACTGGTGGTCTGGGCAGGTGTAGCTTATCCTCAGACCTGTCCCCAGCTGGTAAAAGCTCTAATTCCTCACTGTTTGAGTTACCCCCAGTATCACTGGAAACCACCCTCATATTGTTTTCCTCAGGCCAGTCCTGGATTGAGTTTTGGGATTCCTCTTTCTCCACTACTTCTGCAGCAGCGCCTATTGATGTGATGGAAGGAGCAGTCAGAGCTGCGCTATAGGTTCTTTGGACATTTGGTTTCTTGATGTTTTTATCAAAGATGAGGTACTTAGTATAAAGATCACTCAAACCATCCATGACACTTTCAAAATCCACTGTTAGGTTTTTAAGAGGTTCTTCTTTTAAGCTCTTGTTGGGCTGGTAGATCTCATCTAAAACTGTGTAGATTTCTGAGACAGTGTTATCAATGCCCTGCAGGAACACTGCTTTGTTTCTTTCCTTCTGTGCCTCTTGTGAGTACTGAACCAAGCCCTCCAGGAAAGACAGATGCTTAGAGGAGTAGCTGATGAACTGATCGGCCTCCTCTTGACTTTTCATCAACAGCATTTCGATCACCTCTGTTATCTCTTCCTCTTTTTCAGTGAGTTTTTTGTGCAAGCTAAGAAATCCTTCTGTTACCCTTCGAAGCAGCTCCACACCTTCACACTTAAGCCTGCATGTAAAAAGCTTTACGTCCGTGATGTCAGCTTCACATGCATCTTTAACTGAGGAAAAATAAATATTGTTCCTAATTATTTTAGATATATCATATGCTGAGCCCCTGATGAAACCAGTGAATGATAATTAAAATGAAAATAATATACAGTATGACTTAAACAACTTCTGGAGTTCTATTTAAGTTGTGCATTGAATCCTGTGTACATCACACCCTTACTTGTAGCTTCTGTAAGATATTAATACATAATAGTGACATCTATTTAGAAATATGAAAGATTCCAAAGTTTTTCAGCTATTGAGGGCTTCTGAATCCTACTTGATGACATGCATTATAATTGCAAAAGGTTTTGACCCATTTTGCTCTTTATTTTTACAGAAAGCCATGAAAAATAATTTCACTCTTACTGTATATACTGTACTTCTGTGACATCACAGAGAAAATAAATGATCATTGTTGCAGTTAAAATACAAAATACTTACTTCTCCCTGCTTGCTCAAGAGCTGCATTTAGGCTTTTTACTCTGTTAATATAAGCCTCTGAGATCTCTGCTCTTTCATGGCTGATGTGGTTGACTTTCATGCACTCTTCACAAATGGTTGCTCCATCAGTGAAGCAATAATATGTCAAGACCTTTTCAGGGTGGTAGAAGCATGCTAGTTCACCTTCCTCTTTGTTGACAGGTTTTGTCAGCATGTGAAACTGGAAAGCAGGGTTACTGTGAAGTTTCTTCAGACATTTCTTGCAGTAATTGAGCATGCAGGTCTTACAATATCTCTCAGATATGTTCTTGTCCTTGAGGCATAGCTCACAGTTGACAAACTCCTCAAATGCCAGGCCCTGCTTCTTTTTAGAGCTGCGTGTCTTAGACTGTTGAGAGTATCTTTTCACAATATTTCTAAGAAGGTGGTTTTCCGGAAAATTAAATGTGCCATTGTGCTCACATCTGTGAAGCAGGTTGCAGACTGGACACATGGCAAATTGCAGGTTGCTCTCATCTCGGGATGCCTTTTTCTTAATGGCACCCAGGCAGTGCTTGCATAAACTGTGATTACATGGCAGTACACATGGCTGGGAAAATATATTTTTACAGGAGGGACATGTAAGATGTTGGTAGATAGAGCCATCCAGATGAGCAAGTTCTGTTCTGGAATCTGTTGCTCCTGGGGCAGAACCTACAGGTAAACTGTGACAAAAAAGACAACACTGGAACATACTTAAAAGATTGCACTTAATTGTTTCTGTGAAGAAAACTGATTTGAATTAGCGAGTCTCTCCTTGTCTTTAAATGTATGCATTGTTGTTATATAGTACAGACTTGTCAAGCTTTGTGTTAACAAAATTGTTTTTCACAATTGAATCTGTTGCCACTTCAAGTAGGCAAAGTAAAGAAGGTTGTGAATTAGTTTTGAGATGCATAGATATTAATAACATTAATAATAAAATTATATTAACTTAATAATGACACTGCAAAAGGTACATATATATACACACACCTAATAATATATATAATATATATTTAATAGAAGATTTTATATCTCACACAATAAATGATAATGCCGCATTACAACAAGCCTGAGTTTTAGCAAATATCAATTTTACCGCTCTTTTTTGTGAAGATTTTTCAAATACAGTTGTTTTCCAGGGCTTTTCGGCAAGCTTTCTGTCGATGGTGTCTTATCACCACTGTTCTCTCTCTCTGTACTGCCTCTCCTCCACCACCTGGTTTCTGCCTCGTCTTTTGCCTCTGACATTGTCGTCCACAAGTCTTTCTCAACTCCCCCTCTTGGAATAAATAAATAAAACACATTTCCTCGAAAAGGGGTAAGCTAACAGAAAAACGTCTGAAAACAAAGTCATTCTCAGATCCTCGTACTTGACTGTCAAATTTCATTACAAAAATGAGGTTAAAAAAATTACATTAGGGCCCACAAGCCTGCAGAAGGCTCTCTTATTCAGTGCTTTCTTGCACTGATCCCGGGGGACTACTGTCTCTTCTGCGTTTTGCTCTTCCTGAGTTCTTAATCGCAGGCTAATTGATTTCGGTTTTCTATTCAGGGCATATTTTAAAATTTGCATTCAGCCCTTAAAAGGCCGAATGGGATTTGGAATCAGCCATGTACCAGTTTCTGTCTGTTGAAACTCCCTTCATTCAGGTGTGCTGCCTGAAATATGTTCAACTGGACTCCTCGATTTGAAGGAAAATTAAGTTCAGCCCCACCTATGTCCTGTGCATCATAAATCATAAATCTACTGAGAGCTATATAGTCAGAAATGAGGATAGGAAAATGGAAGGGATCCTGTTTAAAGTTATGCTTGCGTAAGCTGATTGCAAACACTACCCATGAAGTAGAGTATTTTTGAAGCTCAAGACTGAATACAGAAACAAATTAACCCTAAGTCGAAATCAGGTCAATTCACACGAATAGCTGCAGCTCGGCTGAAAAGAAAACCAGCAGATATAGAGGTGCCCACTGTCGCAGTTGGAAACCACTGATTACTACAGCCTGTTTTCTTTTTCAGATTTCATGAGTCTGAACTTGGACAAGGAAACAAAGCAAAACAAGGTCATCACACATATTTGCGTAAATGGAACAGGGCTTTACAAGTAGGAGTAGGCAAAACTAAAACTTCGAGTGTATTTTAACTATCATGCACGTACTGTACGCTGCACGGTTAATATGTCACGAAGTAAATGTCAGGTTTTGACAGCTTAAGATGCGAATGCTCTCAAATTCGTTAAAATTATAGCTCATCTATATCAGGCAGTCTAGAAAATCACATAATTATAAAAAGTGGAATACCTACTCAAAATATTAGCACAAACCCATTATTACTGACAACTTTCTCTTAAAGCTATAACATCTATAGGAAGGTAACACAGTAATAAAATCAAAGATTATTTTACATACAGTACATGTATCCATTTAATTTGATGTAAAATGCTAGCATCAAATTAGTTTTAGTGTACAGCCCAGTGTATAGTTTTAAACAATGAGCAAAAGAAGGACCAGCTAATGGCAGAACTCACTGGATCAAAAACTAAACTAACAGAAATACGACGTCGTAAGCAGTACAAACATCACAATTGTTATAACTCTAGTTGGTGAAGTTAGAGAGTCACTACGGCGGTCCAAAACTATAGAAAACACTCATTATATAGAAAACAATATCGTTTATTAAATTAACTCACCAGTCTTCTTGCCTTCACTCTCAAGACATGAGAAATTATAATCACGTTAGAAATTCGGAAACTTAATTATGCCTATTCGTTCAAATGTAGAGCAAATAACATAAAATAAGATAAAAGTAAAATAAAAGAGAAAAAAGACGTTCACTTTCTTCTGTCAGTAGGAAGTCAGCAAGCAAACGGATAAGAAAAAAAAACACTAAGGCAGTGTTTATAAGCAGACCCACCTGCGACAAAAGCAACATCACAACAGGCTGTATCTATGACGCAATGTACATGCAAGCACGCTATTAGATAATTCAAGCCATAATGATTCAACACCACTGTAATTAGTTGAGCTGACGTTGCTTTATGTTTATGACTATTATTGCCATATTAATTTTACAAACCGTCGCTTCATGTCCGTATGCAAATTCATTTCTTCTTCATCAGTTGCGCTATAGCGTCGCGTTAAGAATGTATTTTCTTTAGCCGCTGTCTTAAATGGACGTTCTGCAGTAAACGATGCGTTGGGACATTAACGGAATACGTAAGCGCCATACTCTGAAGATTCATCCATACATTTTCTATCCGCTTCTTCCAATACAGAGTCGCAGGGGAGCCGGTCCCTGTCTCGCGCAAGGCAGGATACGTCCTGGACGAGACGCCAGTCAATCGCAGGGCATTCAGACACAAGTAGGCCAGTTGTCCCAGAGGGCAGGTAGAAACAGGTGCACCCAGAGCAAAACCACGTGAGCACAAGGAGACTACTATACTGTACAAACTGCACGCAGAGTTCACCCCATGTCTGGCACTGAACTCAGGTCTCTAGCCCAGTGAGGCAACATTGGCAACTACTGTGCACTGTGCATCTCTTAACAGTCTCTGTTAGTAAAAACACCTCTACAGCACGATTAGCTAATTCTCAGCAAACCCTCCAAAATATAGAAAGATGGGTTGCTTGTGTGAAATTCATATATAACATTATAATTTAAAGCTTTTGACATCATTTGGCCAATATAATAGACAATATCATTTTGACAGTTTACACCAGAATACTTTCTTTCAGTCATCTCTAGTTACAGTAAATCAGACAGTTTAAAAGGTAAAACATCTCACTGGTTATCCTAAACACACCTTTCTGGAATGATAAAAAAAAGGCGAGGAAGTGCTGTATATCAAGAAATAAGAAAGTCAAGGCTCTATGCTCAGTTACTGAAGTCACTCAGGTCAACCAAAGAAATATTTGTCCATGTATTGCATTTTCTCTCTGAAACATAGAAAGTGTTTTGTCTCCTGTAAGAGCAAGTTTATCATTCTAATCCGGTGCTTTTTTACAGCATACAGGATTTTACAAAAAGCAAAGATGACCTGCACAGGGCCTAAAACTGTTATAAAAAATGATTTCTGGATGGGTTCTACTTGTGGAAGTGTATAGGGAATTAGGGCTTCACACACTTCCTGTGCCTGAAACAATTGCAGAATAGAAATGATGAACAAAGGAGGTCACCCTGGACTCCCAATTTGGTCTGTGTTGCTCATAATGTTATGATTCAAGAAGCCTTGAACGTTGCCTTGAACTTTCCCTGTGAGTCCACATACAAAACTACAAACTAGATTGTCAGCTCGTTTCATACACCCACCTCATTGTGTGTGAAGGCATCCGAGTATGTTTATTCCTGAATCTACTTCCAGGTGTTCCCATTGGCCCTGATGTCATCAATCCTGCCGAAAGTATGCGTAGTTACAATTCGGACTTTCTCGGCATTAGCCATCCCCAGAGACTGTACCATGGTCCTTTAGGTACAATAACAGCAGGAGATGATAGAAATTCAGTCTCCAGACTTTCTTGGTCTTTGTTGTGTTCATCTAAAGTTATGATACAGCTAGGTGTTATTGGAAGGTATAAACAAATTGTTACAGCAAGCTCATGGACAGTTTTAAACTCATCTGAAATCGGACCTGAACTGTACTTGTCTACTGTATGTGGGAATACATTCTTTGTCAGATTAGAAATCCACAATTTCATAATCCAGGTTGATCTTTTCTTGCATTTTAGGGAGAAATAGACCTAGAAACCCCAGGGGATTCACATCATCAAAAACAAAAATGCCTCTATTACTTTTGGAGTGTTTTAAAATGATTAATAATCCAAGAACTGAAAATGATTTTAGTCAGTAATATACTGTAATTAAATATTCCAAACATCTAGTTAATAACATTCAATATTCCTTTGTCACAGTTTTCCTAGGTGAATTCAGTTTGGACAATCTAAACAAATATTCCCGCAAGTCTGTGTTCTAGCAAAATGAATTTGCTGTATCATGTTTTAATAAAAGGTGTGCTGTTCTACGAATGAGTGTTCTTTGACAAGAACCAGCAAGATTCTAAAACAAGGTTTTATTGGCCAATGTACAGAAAGTGCTGTAGTGACCACCAAAAAGGGAAAACGAAAAAAAGACACATTTGTTTTACACATTATACAGGGTTGATATTTTAAACAGCCTTTTTTCCTCTATAACAACAGACATTTTGAAAACCATGAATCATATGTAAAAATTGCCGGAATCTGACAATACAAACATAAAAGCAAAAATAGCAATGAGCAAGGCTCACAACAGTGACATCACAAGCACAGGTATTAAGCATATGAAATCCTAATCACTGCCACAAACTTCACTTGTACCTATACATTTCAAAATTACAGTCTCCCAGCTAAATCACAGGGTAAAAAGCAAGCAAGGTCCAATCGTTATCTAGGAATCCTCTGTCGTGATTTCTTGTGAGGGGAGGAGGGTAAAATACACAAACACTTTTAGCCTTTGCAAACATATTTAACCAAACTAACCCCTTGACTTACAGTCTGTTTCGTGAAGCCCTTTGTCTCCAGTTTATTACCAACCATTTCCAGTCTGTGCATCACTCAAATGGAGGATGTTCTTTATTAAGTGGAAATTAAAGCCATTATGTACAGTACAGTAATTACATAATATTGTGCTGTACTCACTTAAGTGGCCTGCCATATTTTTATCTACAGCCTTATTTAAAAGTGTATTTCTATGCAGCTATCCTGTTAATATGGTTGTTTTTAACTATAGCATGAGCTTTTCATCTTCACAGTTTGCACCTAGCTAATCTTTTAATCTGATCTTTTGTTCAAATAAGCGTTCCACATTTTTTTTTTCAGTTAAATGTTTGAGACCGTTAAGATGTCACAAAGGCTGAGAAAAAAATGAGAATTAAACTATGACTTCCTGACTTCATAATATGTAGTCCTGGAGTACAGACTGATTTATGTGAGCTAGAAAATTATACTGTATATATTTTAATGGGAAATAGTTAAAAGACTTTGAAAATGACAATGAGTTTCTGCAAAGGATATTGGCTTGGCTCATGTGTTTTATCGTTTCAAGGCATATAGCATGATCATGCAGTACCCACCATTTCAAAAAAAGGCAGAAGAGAATCACATTGACTTTCCATAGATTTCAGGTTTTAGTATTTGCACTTTAAAAATAAAAATTAATGACAAGCAGAGACAACCTTGAAGATGTTAAGACAGACATAGGATAAGCAGGTCATCTACAAATATAGAAACAAGCTGAGCTGCCTTTCAAACAAGCAATTGGAGGTAAATACAAACGTAAGAAGCCTGGATCAGGCCTTCAATTTCCTATTCTAAGTGGTATTTACAGAATAGTATATAAAAATGTAGATATTGTCTTTCCTCTTGTAATGTGCCATCAAAACCTAAGAGAAAAAAATAGACCTATCAAGAAAAGCAGAAACATCAAATCCACAGCTCTGAAATCAAATATTAACTACGCACAAAAGAAAACCTTTCAGTGCATTTGAGCCAGCCAACGTTTTTAAGAGTTAAATGAACAAAACATTCTTAAAATACTAAAATATTATAATTAAAATAGATTCCATTGAGAAAATTTAAATATTAAAATATTGCAAAGAAATGCAATAATGTCTTTATCAAAGAAAATCATTCAACACTTTTTGTATTTAACTTAGGACATACAGTACATCATACAGTGTATACATTGCAAGGGACATTTTAGAATTGTGTTGATTTTCCCAACTTCACATGTTGTGGTGGTTTTAATTTAGTGGATATTGGAAACTGATTACAAATTCCAGAGGCTGACAAATTACTTTGGACCCAGAAATATGTGAAAAAAAGCTATTAACAGGCAATTGTACTTCTAGCATCAATAAAAATTAAGCTGTTTGGGCCAAGACTACAGATTGTTTAACAAGACTAAGTAGACATCTTAGGAGAAAATAGCTTCACATGTGCAAGATCACTGAGGTTAACGCAGTGGAACAGAGGTCTGTTACCCATGTCCTGTAAAGCAAGAAAGCCTTCTGTTTTAAGATTTTGCTCTGAAGGACTTAACTGGATTGAACAGTTGTTCAATTATTAGACCTTAACACATTTTCCACATCTCTGTTCACTGACCATTTAAAGCTACCTAAAAAACCCACAAGACAATGGCTCTCCAGGCCCAGGGGTACAGATCCCGACAGCAGAGGGAGCTGGTATTGAGCAATACCATTTTATGGAATAATATCGGCCAGAGCATATTCATTAACTGCCATAGTACTACAAAGTTATGTCATGCAATCATCTGGATTTTGTATAAACACAAATTCACTGTGATAACCATTGAAATATATTATATATATCATATAATATATATATATATGGAATTATGATAAATTGCTATGTTTTGCCAATGGAAGTGCAAACATGTGGCCAATATTAATGCTGTATCAGATAATGTAGTGGTACACATTTCCAGTCAGCAGAGGGCAACATTTCATTAGGTGTGAAGCTTCTTGTCAGACTTGAATTCAAATAGGTTGATAGTCTTGCCAATGAATCAGTAGCCTTAGATTTAGGCATAGATTTCAGAGTATGTCTAAAGGATGTCTAGTAAGGTAACGTTGAGGTGTCCCACTCCAGATGTTCCCTCCTCTTGATGTCCTGCAGACCCCCAGCCCTGACAGGCTCCTCCTCCTCACTGTCTTCTGACTCAGCACTAGTGATGTCATCTTCCTCCAGCTCGTCTTCCTCCCCCTCCTCTTCCTCTTCCTCACTCCCATCTTCCTCAGCTTGCTGTGGCTCTTCATAGTTCTATAACAGTGACAGACACGTTAAATATCAGGGTACTAAACAGTGTCAGTGGAGCTCTGTGTATAGAAGACTGTATTAACATAGGCGTGATTGATTGCACATGCGTTCAAAAAACCCTTTTTTTTTCTTCTGAGGACAATAAATGAAATTTCTCAGATTCAGTGACATTAATCTATTAACACAGCAGATGGCTTACGTTGAAGGAAGAAATATTAGAGCCTGATGTAGCTTTAAAGAAACAAGGAATGGTTGATTCCAGACTGAGACGTAATAGAAAAACAAAACGGGAATCTTTTGAGTGTCTAGTCTTCCTTTCATGTGTTGGAGAGAATGAAAAAGAGCAGAAATACGAGGCAAAAGGGTGAGGTAGGGGAGGCTAAAGAAAGGAAGTATGAAAATGGGCAACAGGATGTGAAAATATGACTAAGGTGATGGGAATCCGGGGAGCGAATTCCAGGCGATGTATGGAAGGCAGCAATCTTTAAATGAATGAAGTGATTAGAATGAGATTAGTCAATTGCAGTTGCTGGGGGAATGTGTGCATCAAGTCTAAGTCAAAAGTAGAATGCCCATATTACAGGACTGCTGAACACAGTGTTTGGATTATTAATAGATGATGAGCAGAGGCTTTCTGTAAAACATCACATAATGGAAATGTGTTACCACAAAAGAGGAGTCATGGAACTTATAGTACCTCCAGAAATATGTACTGGAGGTGCCAGAGACCTTGAAACATTTATTTATGTTTGGTCTAATTCACTGGTGTGGAGTTAATCATTGTAATTTCAGTATTTTCTTGTTAGAACTATTGCCACTCTCCTTCATGATGATGTTAATAAACAAAATGTCACATTTTGAAGTTTATTTTTCAGCTCCCAGAAAAAGTTCAATTTTTGCAGTCCCTAGACAACTTTTCATTTGTGTTTCATTATTCATTGTTTTCCCCACTATGAAACCACTGCTCACATTGCTTTCTTATAAACACATTTGTTCTTTTCACTCAGACTGCAAAAAAAAAAGGTTTTACTGCCCTGAAGCATTGTTAATAAAAGGCTACGTACTTATTAAAGTGAGGTTAGAATTTAAAATCTGATGAACAAGAAAAGCATGCCGTTTCTAAATAAAAACAACAAATCTGTACTGCCACTGAAGCAGTTAGTAGCTATGTAAAGAAAGGGTTTTCATGACTGAGAGGATATTGGCAGGAAAAGAAAGAAGGGTGATGAAGATATTAATCAGTTTGACAGGTGTGCTGGGGTTTACCTTGCACTCCTTAATTTATTTATGTACTGATGCTCATTCTGCTTCAAGAACAATACTAACTTAGAAGACCAAAAAGAGACAGATTTTTCAATCATGGACATCCCTCAAGGGCAACACTACAGAGCAATACTTTAAGAAGAGGCCAGAATTAGTTCAATTAAGGCTTAATCAGACCGACTGAAGGAGACTGAATGTGCTGGTGATTTAAGGAGATCTGCTAAACACGCTGGGCCTGATTTTCTCAAAGAACAGGCTTGAAGAGCCCTGTAGACCAGCAGTTATTTTGTCTACCCGACTCATGTTAGCTTCATTCAACACTGTAGTGTGTACTGTACATTACTTCACATCACAGTGTTATTCGTATAATCTGGTTATGTGTATGCCTCTAAGTTATGATACCACTGTTAGTATTTTCTTACATCACATTGCATGGGACCTGTTGGAAATATGATTTTGTGTTTTCATCATAAAATCATGTAATGCTTTGACTACCACATTTAGTCAGACCTTAGATGTGGTTGACCTAGCCATCAAAGCCTAAGATCTCTCAGATGGGTTCACGTGGATGCTTTTATGAGACCCAATGTAGTAATGTCACCATGACAGGCTCATTTTACACTGTGCTTTACTGTATGTGAATACACAGAAAAGACCATGGACTTACTTCCATTGGGTTTACAGTAATCGTCAAAGCTGAATCATCCCAGTCCATCTCATTTTCTTTTGCTTCATCTCCATTCTTGGAGGATCGTTGGTGAGCTACATGGATCCTGTAGATGCCCAGGACTACAATCAGGACCAGGGAGCTGATGCATACCACAATCACCACTGTTGCAGCACTTGGGATTGCTGAAAAAAAAAAACAGATACATATTGTACACACATCCACTGCACACTGCTAACAAACAAAAACGTACAAACATATACTCAGTTGGCTTAAAAATTTTTTGGGAGAAAAACATTATTAACTGGAAACAGAATGAACATTTATTCCATGAACATGTTTGCAACATCTGGTTAAAGTCTGGAATGTGTAATAATGAGCTGGCAAATGGATGTCTGATATGTGAACTGGTACCACACTGAAGGTATCCTCCACCCAAGAAGAAAGACACAGGCCGAAAACTAGAAGACGAAGCCTTCACGATGGCAATTGTCTCTCTTGGCATTCTGCTATTCAACTAACTACTCAGACTATAACTGGTGGGATTTACCAAACGTTTCAGAAAAGTTATTCAAATGCCTTTTAGAAATTTGGAAACCTGGTCACAAAGTAATAATATCTTTACTCATGCAGTAGGGACAGATGTCCTGGGAGGTACCAGGTGGCTAGCAGGCATCATCCCCCAGCAGAATGCATGGCAAAGGGAACATTTGGAAGGCAATGGACAATGGACAATGGATTTAACTGGATCTATTTCTAAAACAACAGTGTGGTTCCCATAGACCGATAAGAAGTATTTTTATTCATTGCAGAAACCTTCTCTCACTGACAAAGTCTTATTATTTTGATCAAGTGTAGGTACAGACAAGTTATCTAATGTTTCATAAAATTAAAGTAAGCAATTTAAACCAGTGTGTGGAAAAAATGGAACAAGCAAAATTCACAAGTATTTTTTGTGTGAATTTGAACACACTGTCTATGTTAATTAATTTCTTAATCCCTTGTAGTCCACACGAGTGACAAACCTGACATTGTTATGAAGTCCTTTCAGCCAGCCAACAGAGCAGTAAGGTATGAAGGACTCACTTTAATTGACCGTTTTATTCATTTTCTTTCTTCCTGTATGTAATAAGTATTAAGAAATCAGCTGCAGCTTTTGATCTTAGTTGAGATTCAATGTTTCTGCCTCTGTGAGGTGATCCCAAAGGATGTATAATAGAATAACTCGTATTATCCACCTTGTTAAAATACTAGAAGAAAATCGTTTTTTTCCAACTACTGCTCTCATCTGTAGCCTTCTTTATGAGCGAAACTTAATTATATTCACTTATTGGACAAATATAATAACCTCGCAGCAGTGTAAAATCATTGGCAGAAGTGTTAAAGGCAACACATCTGACAGCTTCCAGTCAGACTGTTTTTTTTATAAAAACCAAAACAGATTTTTGGAACAGATTAAATTAGTTAGCTTTTTCAGCATAAAAAACATCTTCTATTTGTGTGACTGACTTCATTTAGCTCTAGGCAGTACCATATACTGTATGTACAGTATTACTGTATTAACCCTTTATTGACCCATGTTAAAGGAATGTGTTAATGTGCTTGCTTTATTGAACACAAGGTTTACAAACGTACTAAGGGTTATTCCACAACGCTAAAGTCCCATTTCTGTAATACAAGTCATAATATACATTGAGAATGCAAGGGCTTAGACTGGAGACATCATGCAGAATAAAGTCCTGTACTGTATGTTGCAGCCTTTAATAGCAAAATGCAGCAGCAGTTTGTTACCTGAGCTGTGAGCAGTGTTTAAATTGTGCCCCATCACTGGATGGTGAATTGCCTGGAGGTACTGAGGCTGAACAGCCATGTGATTTACATGCTCCATGAAATTCGAGCTGTGTAGGACATTAACCTTTAGAAGGGAAAGCAAGTGTTTCAGTTAGTACAAGCTTACAAATCCTGGGAGAGAAATGCACTGCAACTAAATAGAAGGCTGTTAAAAAGAGAATAAATTAAGGAAGGGACACAGTGAGGTTCATGACAATTTTGAAAAGACATTACAGTTTAAAAATATTGGCCATGAAAAATAGATTATTTACCATTTCACTAATTTTTATGTGAAAATGTTTTAAAAGGTGTTCAGACAATGAAGTACTGGGATCCAAATGTGAGCTTTCATACAGTTAAATAACTATTCGATATTGCTGCTTGCTTTATACATTTGAGAAAAATATATTTTGATTTTCTAACCACCTAACGTGGAAATGCCACGGCTCTCAAGCAACAACTCTCGTGTCCACAAAGTGAGAGCAAGAACCATGTTTTCGCAACACACCCCCACAAGACAGAGACGTTCACCTGTTCCAGAGCGGCATGTATGAGGGCTGGTGTCGATTGGATGCATTTGTGCTGCATCTCCCACTAATGTAGCAGCAAACTTGCCGACATCTGGCACAAGACACTGGCTGACTAACACCCCAACACTAACTACCCAAAAATACTCTGACAGTAGTGTGCTCTGCCACTTGGGGAATCTCATTCAAAGTCGGCTACTAATATGAATCAGCTTTGATTTAATAATATCTTGTCCATAATTCTCAACCTGCCCCCTGAGCAATCACAATTTAGGTAGGGTAGGTAGGTCCCCTTTTCAGGCCATAAAGGCCCATGAAGGAATGGGGGGCAAGGGCCACCATTTTTCTCGACCATCCACCACTGGAGGTGGAGGTGATGTGGTCAGCATCACACTCTGGCCGGCCTGTTACCCCTGGAAGGATTAACCCCCGGTACTCGTTTAGAAAGAAGGCTGAGTGGACCTGGGAGCCGTCTGGAAGGAATTAGAGCGAGCTACGCCGCTTGACCCTACCTGGGATTGAACCCGGGACCTTCCAGTCAGGAGCTACACGGCCTTGTTGTCTGAGCTACCACTGCTACAAACACAATTTACATTTTGGAAAATATTGTAGTCTATGCATCAGCAAAGAGCCCAATTCTACAAAACTAAGAACTAATGTTGCTTTTTATAGCAGTATTATTCTGAAATCCACTTTTAAACGGACAATAAAAACAATTAGAATAAAATAAAAAAGTGACTAATTCAACATTAGTAAACCTGATTTTCCAAGAGCTATATAAGTTACCTATTACTCTTAATTTCTTTAACAGTTCTTGGGCATTAACAGAATATTTAAAAACAATGTACATACCTCTAAATTAAATTCATTACTTGTGTATCTTCCATTCAGCTCTGAGCATGTTAGTCTAAATTTCCTCTCGAAAAGGTCACCAGTGTGCCAGTTGCGGTATCGCACCTGTCGGATTACTTGCTCGTAATTTGACATTGAGTCCACACCTGTGATAAAAAAAGGATTGATATTAATGCAGAATATCCATCTGGGTATATTACACATTATGCTAAATAAAATAATGAAATGTGGTTCCTTAAAACGAAGATTCCAAAACAAAATTCTTCCAGTCGGTTTCAAACCTCACCTTTATTCATCTGGGGACAAATGTTTAGTAAATACTGCTGCCTGCAATTTGTATTTTGTGACTGGAGAGAATTCATTATTATTGAAATATAAGCACTGTTCACTGCTCCTGTGATGTACAGTAATTTCGTCTGGTCAATTATTCTAGGAAATTCCCTTTGATAATTCAAAACCATACCATAGACAGAGATTCCTGATGTGGAGTTTGTGGCATCCAAATGTTTTCCACGCAACTCATTGCCATTCAGCTGAAGACACTCCCGGTCTGGGTTAAGTTCCTCCCCAATAACCAGAATATCACAGTAATCCAAGTTGTGAATGATTTCCTCCAGCACACCAGCCCCGTGAGCTGCAAATGCAAGACAGAGAAATCATGGGCATGACTATGAATCAAGATAATGCACTTAAATTTCATTGTGACAAGCTGCGAGTATGACCAATTTTACTTTAACTCTTTCTCATTTCTGGATAGCTTGGCAACACAAAGTGTGAGGTTGGCTTCATTATTCAAAGGTGACTGTGTCTGATTGAAGAAAACCCATTTAATACAATAGCAATATCCAGCATTATGTTGAACAAGGGCCAGCAGTCTTCTTAAGTAGAGGGCACTAAGATTTATGGTGGGTTATCCTGGCAAACAATGGCAAACTCCATCCTGTTATTCAGCAAAATTGATTGAATGATACCTGAAACCCTAAACCACCACATGAAAAATATGCTAAAAAAAAATAAAAAAAATTAAATGGCACTACAAACTAAACACATTTTGGTTACTGAATGCACTGTATAAAACAAGCCCTGTTTGCCAAGCAACTGCCTGAACATTATGAGACTTCTGAAATATTTGTACATGTAGAATTATTCTATGCAGCCTTTCTCTAAAGAATCATTCCACCTCTTGCGGGTAAAATCATGTTTTTATTTCAGAACATACGATTGTGAAGGTCCCTAGCGAGACAATAATCTTTTTCAAAGAAGATTCTTGGAGGTGTGAGTCATTTCTGGCTTCTTGCAGATTCCCTCAGCTCCTTTTCCAGGTGTCTGTAAAATCTTGAGACTGTTGCTAAGAGGGAGCTCCTGGACAGCGGTGGTGATGTGAGATGCAACTTGCAATTTCAGCTGTTGCAAACAAGAAGGGACAGGCTATTTCTGCCCCCCCATGAGAAAATCTAATCTAAAAGTGTTTCTATCACCACCTGAGGCTACCTCTTGACTGACTGGTTGTGTGAGGATCACTGAGGAACAGGGAAACAGGCAGTGGAGCTTTCACCTGTACACTTATTATTTAGAAATCAACAGGGACACTCAACACAATATGAAGTGAGCTAGTTTAATAAACTTTATACTGAAGACTTCTTGTAGCTTGTCTTTTATTCTTTTGTCTTTTGTATTTTGCATATTTTAATATCTCAGTTTATAGAACTATTTATAGTAAAGTGATGTGCAATTTTGAATCTTTTTGAATTGTTTTGTCTTGATTGGAATTGTGTATGAAAGACACCATATAATGTGGATGTGATAAGTCAAGCTAGCGATCGAGTGACTAAAAGCAAATTTGCACAATTGCTTTATGACTATGAACCAGATAGTGAGAACAATAATTAATACTGTATACAATGGACTTGTTTAATAGACTGATGATTAACCATACATCTAGACTTGTTAACCAGAAATAACATTAGGCAAAGATAAGTGCTCATCAGGTCGATGAAACCACTGTAATTCTTCAGCTTCTCATCAGAAGTGATAATGTGAATACTTCTAAGGTGTTTAAGATTGTGATATGGATATTTTCCTCATAAAGGCATTTTATTTCCATCCCATTTATTAATTATGATAGTCCTTCATAATTTACAGAAAATTCAACTTTGAATTTTAATTTTCATTTCAAATTTTATTCAGAGTCATTTTTAGCTAGCCAGAATCCTTACTCAGCATGAGAGCTGATGATGTCCTGATTCTTTATCCTGAAGGTTTGGTGCCCTTCATCTTTCCTCAAAACCCTGTGCCTGACAGGTGATTGAAAACTGGACTTTAAATTGCACTCAGGCGCCTAGTAACCTAGCAAAGCAATCTTTGGAGAATAAATTCCTATAGCAGAGCATGATAACAAACACTTTATAATACATTGTAGGCCACAAGGAATACATTCCTTTTACTGCATTAGTTTTAAAATAATTTTAAATTTACTTGGAATCAAATCAATGCATATTCAATATACATTATGTTAAAAAAGAACTAGACACATCAATCAAGAACATTAGAGACGAATTGTCTTTACACATTGGGAAAGAGACAACAGCATTTTAATGCCACAATTTTCATAAAAGGAGTAAGCAGGACTCTTTGTATCATAAGCACATGGCTAAATTATTTTATTATAAAACTATCTCAGATTAAGCTGGTTTCCACCAAAGGCATTGTGGGGAAAGAAACAATTGAGGTTGCCCCAATGAAAATGTATAAAATTGATGTATGTGGAAGCAGACCTAAATCATGGCAGCTGTCCAATTTTCTTTACATTTAGGACCAATACTGTATATCTGGATCGATTTTAGGATGCTGTGCCTAGTTTGGGAGGGTACAGAACAGTATAATAAACGAACGAGAGGCATTCAATGAGAGAAAGCAGAAACACAATCCATCAACGGCCGAGAGTATGGGCAGTTATTGGATACATTGTCCATTGTACGGCGTTCATGTGTCCCCGAGGCTTGGTGTGTCTTAGTTTTCCCTGCTGCTGCCTCATGAGGGCGACTTGCCTGGTCTTTCTGCCGGCTGCTCAGACTTGATGACGGTGCTGATGATCCGAATGTCAGGGAACAGCACGAGACCCTGGGAGCTTTCAAACTCAGCCGCTGGGCGTGCAAAGTGGTCCACTCCATTGATGGTGATCCGCGGCTCACTGGGCTGGAGGACCATTACAAAGGCATCAATGTCAGGGATGGTGATGCACGTGTCTTCCCCAAAACACCTGCAAGTTAAATAAAAACAACAGAACACTATGAACGCTGACCCATCACTACATGGTGACCTCAGATCCATGAAAGTGTCGCAGAAAGATTTTTTTTTATCAGAAGTGCATGATGATAAAAATATAGAGCAGCCGGTTGACAATTTATGACACTAAATGGATACTTCATAATCTTCATGTGTAGCCAAGTGCAGGAGTTCTTTGGAGTCCTTTCTATCAAACGTGTATAATTTATCACAGCATAGCTTGAGCAAGAGTCTAGGCTTCAGGTAAGATTCTCAATATCATGTTCCAAATTGTACATAAAGAGAAATAAATATCCTAGAAGGCAGAAGTGACAGATAAATATTTAGTATACTGCTGTAGCTATAGCCTACTGGCATTTACTGTCAAAATGGTTGTCATAGACTGCACAATACTTAGATATTGTCTGTGAAGAGGACTTAAACCTGAACCCTCTATAAACGAAAAATCAAGACACTTTATGAAAACTTGGCACCATCTACCCATTAACAGAGAGCTGCTTAATCATATTAAGGGTCATGGCAATTCACTACCCAACCTGGAAGCATAGTGTTAGGGGGCAAAGTGAATTTTATTGAACATTTAGGTTTTCAAATGCCAGTATCAGTATTCCAGTACACATGTAAAAAATGCAAGAAGTAAGAAGTGTGTCAGTTAATCTATTTTCCTTAGATCAAAAATATAAATATTAATATTTTCCGAAGCTATCCTCTTTATTGTTCTTTATTGGGGATTCTTACAGACTAGCTGTATATATTAGTACTTTGGTGAATGCTACAGACTAACTTCTTTAATATACTTCATTACATCCATGTAATTTTTACTTTTCTGCAATGAATACCACGTCCAAGACAAAAGAAAGAAACGTGCAATACTTTCCACCAACGAAGTTGCTGCTTCCAAGTTTTATATTTATTTCCACTTTGTTTAATCAAAACACCATATGACACAAGCTTTTCCCCTTTGTTTCACTTGCCTTTGTTGTGCTTTAAAATGTGTTGTTCTGGAAAGATTTAGGCAGTGAAGTGGAAAGACTGATTTCTAAAGCTGCTACTTAAGACTTGGAGGCAATCCAAATTAATTAAGAAGAATATGAAAGAAAGAAAACTTGAAAGATTAATTCAAGCTACCCTTTTGCCTCACAGAATAATTACCATTATTAAGACTGTGAAAGTACATTTTTAATCAATTATTATTTTTGGTTTTGTTTCTAATGATATTGTAGAAGCAAGCGAATTTTAACACTACTCATGTAGCTTGTGGAAAATGTGGTTGCAATTTTTTAGTAAAAATTAAGAGCATAAGAAAAGTAATGAGAAGAATTCCATTTACCCCACAGAGGTTGTCTGTCTGCTGCAAAGCAAATACCCTTTTCCTGGAAGATTCATAACAGCTTCAACAACGTGTCCAGGTAGCATGTTTTACACTCCCTGTGCCCTCGCTGTAAGGAAGTTATTTTCAGTCTTAAATACACTTTCTGTATGTGTTCTCTAGTGTGCATTTTGATTTTGCTCCTGTAAGCTTATTTTTGTTGTAGAAATTCAATGGGTTACTTGAAACACATTAAAGTGTAGAAATTAATGAATTATATCATATATGTTTAAGGCAGCAAGCTCACAACAGTCAAATCTGGTGGGATCAGGAAAGCACAGTACAACACTAAGATAAGACTTAGAACAAACAGCAAATCCATTCCTAAATACTTACTAGAGTGCTAGAAGCAAAAGGAATAAAAAAATCAAAGCTTCTGCATTCACAGTTGAAGTTATAGAAACAATAATTAAACCTAAACTAGAACAATACAGTACTTTCATAACAATGACATTTTAAAAGACAGTAAACATAGATTTAGAAGGGGAAGATCATATTCAATTAATGTAAGGACAGACTTCAAATTATGGACAACAGTGGTGGGTAACACTAAAGCATACAACATTTTGTTATTTGATTAGCATAAAGCTGTTCATAAGGTCCCTCAGAAAAGAAAATGATCATTTTAAATTAAAAGCCATAGTAATTGACGTCAAAAGATGCACATAAACCATGAACTGGTTTAATGAACACAAAAGAGTATGCCATCTAAAAGGACATAATATCTAGTTAGGCAGATGTAAGCAGTGGTATACAACACTGATCTGTCAATTGCAAAAACGCCTAGGCAGCATCATGGGCTGGAAAGACACTTGTCAATGAAAATTTAATAATATACTTCAGGAAAATAACACTATATCTCATGGGTGATTCTGAGCTGGAGGAAGTTACGCATGAAGGGGATCTGGGTGTTTATGTCCGCAATAAGAAAAGTAAACAAAAGAAGAGCAACAAGAATGATTCCTGGCCTCAGGAGATTGTCACAGACAGTCGGGTTAGAGGAGTTAAATCTCTTTGGTCTAGAGGAAAGGAAAATGAGAGGAAATGTGATCTAGGTGTATAGAGCCCTTAGGAGTGACCCAGAAGGAGAGAGGCTGAGGTTATCAATTGCAGGTTGATTAAGCGAATTGTGTTGTACAAACGTTTATGAAGATAATCCGAGTGAACCCTCTTACATTCAAACCCTCCACATTACAATTTAAATGAAGCCCTCTGCGTTGGCTTTAGCAATTCCTTTTCTGTCAGTACTAGCTACTAGAGAAACACATAGCTATAATATTGTAGAAAAACATCACTTCTACTATTACATATTATATATAATATCATTAATTCATTAATGTTGTGTTCATTTTTATTGTTCCACGGGCAGCACTGAAAATGTGAAAAGGACTTTGACAGTGAAGGCATGGTATTCAGATACAAGTAATATAACAATCAGGATAAAAATAAGAAGGTGCAGCTAATTGCTTTACACTGAAATAAAAACAGTAGCAAAATCCCTCTTTTTGTGAAAGCAGGAACATTTCTCCATTTGCTCTCATTTAAAAGAAAAAAATAACTTAATTCAGACATCTATTTCCTTTCACTTCAGGCCATTACTTCTTTATTAAAAATATCTTTTAAAATTCCTTTATCTGGTCTAGCCATGACATTCTTAAATTAGGTATCTATTAAATCTCCCCTTTTCAGATTTGTTATTGATCAGAATTGTCCAATTTGATATGACCAATTCTCCTCACCATTTGACCTGTAGACGTTTCCTAGAGTCTTGGATTCCGTTATCAGAACAGTTTCATTTCAGCTAAATTGGGTTACCGATGTAAACTCAATAGACTATATTAGATTCTCCAGGTGGTTCCTAGGCTGTTTGTGACTATATCTATCACGGGCTAAATTCTGATTTTTATTGAATAGCCCAAACATGTTAGCCATAGAAAATGCATTTTTGTACTACAGAAACAAGCTCCTTGGTGAATAAAATACAGAAGCCTTTTATTAAGTATCCAACCTGGAACTCTGAAATCTACACAGAGTTTAAGGTGCTTCTCTAGATCTTGACTTATTTAAGATGGAGTGTACCTAAAGGTGCTACATTAGAGTTTCTATCTAATAAGAACAAAGAGAAAAAAAGAAATAACAGAAAATGGAAATGAAAACTCTGGAAAAGTGGAAGACAACTGATTAACAGCATAGAGGTTTTAGAATCACTTGATTACTTGCTGGACCTTGACAGAACCTACATGTCATTTTTAATATAACAATCAGAATAATTCACAGGCACAGCTGTGAGTTCGGAAACAACAACTAAGCATTAAAACTGGATTTTAGTACACTTTTACTCACACCTAAGGAACATCAAAAATTTCACATGGAGCTCTTCAAAGCCTTCTATATTCAACAGACACACTTGTGAGGCATAGCGCATACACTATGTCCCACAGTCCGTATTGTCAGTCTGATTTAATCCTTTAAAGAGATAAAGAGAAATCATACACAGACCCAAAGCATAATTAGTTGCAGGGAAACAAAATCAAGAACGACCTGGTGTTTAGAAAAGACCAAGTGAACATTTGCTTAATTCTATGACCTCATGATAAGCTAATTACAAAATTCCCAGCTAATGGAAAACATTCAGTTGATGAATCTACAGAAATATTCAGAGACTTCTTGATTCAACATTTTAAAGAATCTAGACAATTCAAGTAAACACTGTCACATAATATAGATATTAAGTAAAAGTGTAACCCCATATTTAGCAACTTCATATATTTTAATAATCATGACCATAAACCATCATGTTTATAAAATAATGCTTTTGGAGATACAGTTGTACAATGTTAACTGAGGTGACATCAGAATAACATAATCCAAAATTGGGCAAAATACCCTTTTCATCTTTTACAGTGTTGTAAATAATAATAAACTTTATTTATCTAGCAGCTTCAAAACGCTTTATAGAATGACAACAACAAACAAAAAAAAACAAGATAAACACAACACAAAACACAACGAGAAGAGACAGCAGATGGGGGTACTGAATACTGAGCAGAGGGGTATATAACAGAACCAAAGAAAAATTAAAAAGAATCCATACTAGTTTTGCAACAATGATGTGTAAGAATGTCCTGATCCCACCAGATCTGGTCTGTTGTGACCTTCCATGCTTTATACTGTATATACAGTAAACATATATGAAATGACTACTTAATTGGTAAATGTTAATGAATTTAAAGTAACTCATTGTATGCATAGTGTCTTTTTCTACTTTCCTTGTATCTGTTTAACTAGCAGGCAAATCTACTGGGAAGCATGAATATTTGATTTGATAATTATAAAAGCAGAACGGTACTGGGAATTTACAAGTTTGTCCTCTCAAAAATATAAAGAGTGCTTGAGGGCACATGCAGATATAAATCTAGATGGAGCATCTACAGAAGCACTAAGTAAAATTTGTCCTCTGGGTTTTGATACTGACTTTCTGTTATGTAGCTAAACTGATGCATATATTTATGTGTTTTAGGCTAAAGGTGAAGATAAAGTAAAAAAAAATGGCAGAGAATCTTGAGAAATTAAAAATAAAACACTTAATAATTTATGAAGCAAGATTACTCATATGAGTTTTATAAAAATAACTGGACTAAATTAAACCAGTATGCTGATAAACACCATACTTGACAGAGAAATAGAACTAATGAAACGACTAATAAGTATCTAATGAAAAGTTGTGGAAAAATATTTTAAGAAAGAACATATCACTCATCTACATCACTTTGACATTTTCTCTTGAGCCAGTTGTGCATGTTCCAAACTTCATTTTCAAAGGCTTACATTAATCTGGAGATTTTCAACTTAAAACAGAATATTCAACATTAGTCTGCCTCTGTCTTTTGACCTCCTAGACAGTCTAGCTAGTTTTGCTGGTAGACTTTCCATTTGTGAAATGTCTGAAATAATTTAACTGGACAGCTTTTGCTAGACTTGGAGGGCAAGTACACTGAAGCTCTTGGGGTTGTCAGAACAGCAGTGACAGTACAACATTCCAGAGTAACCTAGGCAACCTCATGAATTAAATATGTGCCTGGCCTTGCTGGAGTGAGAGTATTCTGTGTCAAGCCAGACTTAAATGCTGATTTTTAAGTATTTGTTTAGAAAATCTGTACTAAAGCATAGGCATTGTACTATATATAATGCATAGGTTAACCTTACCTGTATCAAACCAATCATTGGGTCTTAAAAATATTACATGCCAATATCAACAAAGCCTAATAGTTGGCACAAAATGCTAAGACAGTACTTCAAGAATACTAATGAATACACATTTACTGGTGGCATTACTTTTTATACTTAACATTGAAAAAAATCATGCTTTTCTTAGAAAAAGTAATTCCAATATTTCTTTCTGCTTATATTTTATGTTGGTCTCAATCCAAAAAACAGAACAGGTTTAAAAGTGAAGTTGTCCATGAAAACTTTTTATTCATGCATTAGAACTGTTCATAAAAGTGAAACTGAAAAAAATCTGAATTTTCCTCAGTCATTTTCAAAATAATGAGGGATAGCAATTACCCATTGGTCATTTGGAGGTCAATCTACACAGCACAAGAGGACACTTTTTTAAGCTTCTATATTCACCTAAGGGCGGAGCGGTGGCCTTATGGCTAAGGATCTGCGCCTGTGGCTGGAAGATCCTTTGCGCCTTTGGGCCCCTGAGCAAGGGCCTTAACCCCAACTGCTCCAGGGGTGCCGTATAAATGGCTGACCCTGAGCTCTGACCCCAAGCTTCTCTCCCTGCCTGTGTGTCTCATGGAGAGCAAGTCAGGGCATGCGAAAAGACAACTTTTTAATACAAGAAAATGTATATGGGCAATAAAAGTGATCTTAATGAACCAGAGAAAAACTAATCAAAGAAATCATAAGCAAACCCAGACCCAGGTCTGTGGACTTACTGCACGGTAGTTGAAATTTTAAGTCGTCTGATGCCGGGGGTTGGAAACTGCCTTGAGTTGATGTAAGACACCTTCCTCAGGGCTTGATTGATGTTCTCCAGGTCATCGCCTTCCATGGCTAGGATGGACTGAGCAGGATTGAAGTGGAACTAGGAAAAACAAAGAAACAAGAACAAAACTGCATTAATTCATTAGCAGGTTTCAGAAATATGAAATTCAAATACTCATGGTGGGGCAATATCTGTTCAGCTATTCATGAGTTAGTTACATGAAGCTGTTTAAAAAACATTCATTGTTCAATGTATCTCCACATTTTGCCTTTTGTTCCAGGTAATTGTGAAACTCTGCTAGATCTTTAAGAAGAAAGTATAACAAAACCTTCTTTTCTAAAGGTCCACACAGCTTACTCCCTACTTCTAAATGTATTTAAAAAATATAGTCATAGAATAGGAAATAGGAAATTGATTTACTCTGTTTGCTACCTTAGAACCCCATTATATAAACAACGTGGTATTTTTCAGTTTGCAATTGTGAAATGCACAATTTCTTTTTCTTTCAAACCAAACATGAAAAGTAAGTCAAGTGCCTACTCCAAGCATATACAGTACATGTTTTTTATTGTAGTATCTGCCAAAGCGATACTGCTTCCACACCGACTGAAAAGCATATGGGCCTCTTTGTGTTTGTACATCCTGCAACACAGGCCTATTGTTTAAAGCCTAGGATCACAATCTGTTCATGCTGAAAAGACAATGCAGCCCCAGCAGAACAAAGTGAAGCTGAAAAAGCTCTTCCTGTAGGAATAAATCCTCTTTAAGTGTAAATGTAGTAAAAAAGACTCATCTGAAAGAGTGTACAGTGAAGCAATATCAAGTGTACACAGATGATCATATTATAAAAGTTCCCAATAGATTACACTGTTCCACGTTAGAAGCATTGGGAGGTACAAAGGAATGCATTAATAAAGTTTCAAGAAGTACTTACTAGGCTGTGGAATTTTCCCTTTAAAGTTACAAGATGTTGCTGAAGACGCTTGTGTGATGCCCAAGAGCTTTTAAAGATTACAGAATTTCATCACTTATCGCTACATAAAATGTCTTTTGATAAAATCACATCAAAAAGAGTTACACAGGATTAAACTCTAATTTCTACATAAAGGTCTTTAATGACTAGAATTGGGGTAGACAAACAATTAGATGGGTTGTTCCTGCAGCTCTTTGATTTTCCTTTTCAAATTGCAGGCTATACAAAACCTCACCATGTTTATTTGTGGTCTGGTTGTTTAATTCCTTAGTCATAGTAATTAATCACTTGCTGTTCCAAACGTTAATTATACATCCAAATCAATTACATGTTCTTTTATCTACTAAATAATCAATGCACAGTTTCCTTAATTGAGATGCTTTTTGCAGATATTTTAATAATCTGAACAATGTCATGACTCTATCTTCTAATAACTATTCTAAAACAAAGAACTCTTCAGATTTTAAATTCTGAATTTCAATTTACCTGAATATAACAAGAATATAAGCCAACCACTATTTTATTACACCAGCAAATTATATCAGTTAATAAAAAACTTTTCGTGTCATCTGTTTTGTCATATTAAAGGAAATATACTTACACTATGTTCCATGTTTATATGCTATATGATTTTAGTTGGATTACTCTTTAAAAGCATGTCCCTTTATTTATGGAGCTGATAACAGAAGTTCGGGAAGAAGGTTAGATCACAATCTCCCATAGTTCCACTCGTCAACATACAGCCGACTCAAAATTTACGCAGTTGGAGATTTATGTGGTCAAGTCCAGAAAATAAAAAATAATGAAAAAATGCTTTATTCTCTGAAACATTCATCAAGCACAACTATGAGAGCTAGTTACTGAGCCTATACATTCGTCCCCCATGAAGTGAGTCTTCTCCCCTCATCACTCCCACTCAGTGATTCAGCGACTCAGTGACCCAGCATCAGTACTTCTGTGTAGAATATCAGTGATCAGCTCCTGCATTTATATTTTCTTTTTGTGAGAAAACTCCAATGTGAACCCTAAACTATGGCTCCTAAGCAAAAGTCAAGTAGTGAATCAGGTGGTGAAAAGAAGAAAAAAACGTTCAGTGCCTACATTAAATGAAAAAAAATGAAATATTAGACAAACTCAGAGGTGGCGTGTCAGTGACCAGTGACAGAAATATGGCTGAAATGAATCCAGCATTTATGGCAATAGTGTAAGAGTCAAACTTGTGGAGCTGTTGTGCCAAGTGCCCCAGGGACTGCAAAAGTGACAAGCCAAGTGCAAGACAAATATTTAGTGAAAACTGAAAAGGCACTGAATGTTGGGATCAAAGCATATACCTGTTGACAGATTTACGTTGAAAGATAAGGCTTTTAGCCTTTACAAACAATTCATACCTCCTGGTGTATTTCCTGAAAAGGAGTTTAAAGGAAGCCCATGCTGGCTTAGTAACTTCAAGAAGAGATAAAACCTCAAAAATATGAAGGTAACTGGTGAGTCTGCATCAGCAGATGAGGAGGCAGCACATGCTTTTCCAGGACAATTAATTTTTTTAAAAAAATAATTGAAGAAAAGGGTTATTGTTCTGAACAAGTCTTTAATGCTGATGAGACTGGGCTGTTCTGGAAAAAAGTGCTAACTCGCACCTACAAGACAAGCATGCACCTGGATTCAAGGCAGCTAGAGACTACATTACTCTTGTTGTGTGGGAATGCAGCTGAGGATATGATAAGACCCGGGCTCCTATTTCAGGCAGGCAACCTGCATGCACTTCGTGAGAAAACAAAATCCCCTGCCTGAGTCCTGGCAACACAACCCATAGGCTTGGATGATGGTCGCTGGAGTGGAGTTTCTGGAGTGATTCCATAAGTGGAAAAATATTTAAAATTTAAAGTGTTGCTGATTATAGATAATGCTCCTGAGCAGCCAGAAACAGTCCAGCTCGCCCATCTAGATGTTGAAATCATCTTTCTTCCACAAAACACCAGTTCAATCTTTCAGCCTCCTGATCAAGGCATAATTCATTGCTTTAAAGTACCATATACCCGCCTTTGTTTTGGCCATACAAGGAATGCTTCGGACACAGATCAGGACCTAGATGTCATTCAATACTGGAAGGCTTTCAGCATTGCAGCTTGCATCTTGTATGAAAAGGAGGCGATGAATGCACTGAAGCCAGAAGTAGTGATTGAATGTTGGTGTTTGAGCCATTTTAGGCGTGACGTGGAAGTGAAGAACATTGTTGAGCTTACATGACAATTGGGAGGTTAGGGAAGATGAAGTTGACAAATTGATCGAAGGATATAGAGAAGAGCTGACAATGGAAGAATTAGAAGAAATAATACAAGTCTCTAGTGAAGAAGGAGTGGAAGAAAGTGAAGAGGAAGAGCCAGAAATCTTGAATCTTTAAAAATTTTCTGAGGTTTTCCAGCTAGCCAAAAGCCTCACAGATTTAATCTCCGATTATGATCCATCAATGAACCAGTCTGATGTTCCCATCTTATCAACAAGGCTCTTAGGCCATATCAAGACATTTTTTGGGAACTGAAAAGAAAGGAGGGCTGATTGCAATGTTCTTCTACAAAGATTCCGATGAACCTATACCATTTAAATCTCGGCAGAAGTTGAGGTGCCTCAAACACCAACGTGGCCCACTGCTTAGTCGGCTACTCAACCCACCACGCAGTTGTCCACGATGCCCACCACTGGGTCTTCTTCACCCATGCCTCATACCACCTTATCTTGAGATTCTTTGTCAATCCCAGACGATCCCCTGCCTGTGCTCTTGGAGGGAGAGGACGAGTCAATCCATGGAGTGCATACTGTACATCGCCCATCTCTATTGTCTCATCATTCACCATATGGGCACTGTACCAATCATCCTCATCATCACAGCAAGACGTTCTAGGATTAATGCTGAGTATTCGTAATGTTTCCTTTTTTATTTCGTTTCCATGCTTGTATTTAATAGCTTGAATTACTGTGAAAATTTAGCAGGGTTTTTATTAGTGTTTTAGGGTCAAATCTGACTATGGGCAAATTTGGGTTTATGCGCTACTCAAAATCCTTAATCCCCGTAAATTACGAGTTGACTGTCTTGTAGCCAGGACATCCTTTGTGCATCCCCCGTCTCCACACACACCTTGCTCCTACTCTCTAGTTTAATCCTTGCAAAAGTGTGGGTAGCGGGGAGGAGGTTTGGCTGTCAGATAGGCTGTCATTCCCTTAGCGAGTCACACCAAATACGCTCCACATATTTTGTCCCTCTATCTCATTCATCAGGGTCTAACTGAACTCCTGAATGATTTTATGTAAGAACAGTCAGTACCTTTACTGCAACTGGTTACATGAAAAAGTCACCTAATCTGAATTCAGGTTCTAGGATGAGAAATAAGAATTAAAGAATGAGTATAAATAAAGATTCAATTTATGAATGTTTGTTACTTGTTCTCTGTGAAATGTACAGGTAAAACGCTCTTAAAAATGGGTAGGCATTTGAACACGCACACATATATTTTAATATAGAATAAAACCTGTCAAATATAACTTAAGTGGGGGAGAACACTCATTTTTTTCTTGATTCTGTAAATGTGATTTCAGAGGAGACTGTGATAAAAAAAAAGATCTCTGCAAAGAACTGTTGTTCATTTCATCTGACAATGCAAATGAGGAAATAATGCAATTTTTGTTCCATCTACAATGTATTTTTTATTGACTGCTGGTAATCTCAGCCTCTGGGAAGAGGGACTCAGAAAAACTACCATTGCCTTTAACGCACTTGAGCTCTTCAGACACATAAATCAGACAGATAATGTTTTATTAGAGGTGATGTGCTCCCATTCTTTACCTTTATTCCTTTCCCCAGGCTCTCCAAGGAATTGATATCCAGACCCTCCTTGCAGGCCTGAAGGCAGGAGATCACTTTCTGACTCTCAATCTTCCCTGGGCGAATGGTCAGACCAGAGAGGCTGCCTCGGAAAAACTGGGTGAATCGAGGTTTCATCACTTCACCTCCTATAAGTGCAGGTAACAGAGGAGTTAATAAATAGCTTTTACATTTTATTCCTGTAAAACATCTGTTCCTGCATGAACATGATGTTAGAAGACCACAGAAGACATTAAAGAGCCCCATGCCAAACTCTTACCTTTTCTGACGAACTGCTTGTTCAGTGTTCAGCTGCTCAGTTATGCCATGCAGAAAGCAGTAATTTTTCTGCACTCCAGCCTAATTGGTTCAGATTTTCTATTATTTTTTGACAGTCGTTATCAATTAAGTGTTAATACATCAGGAAGAACCCAAACATACCACAATAAATGCTGAAGCAGAAAAGAATGTATTTTCTACCACTTCCTGTCATGCAGAAAAAATGCTGATTGCTCAACCTGTGCTTTTGTGTTTTCATTTTTTCCCCCTTTTGCAAGGTCTTGAATAAAGCTGAAGATGAAATGATAAGACTGCATGCCGTATAAGGTGGCTTAAAAGTCACTTGTCTTGATCAATTTTGTTTGATTTGCCCGGGGAAGAGTATGCAATGCAAAAAAAATGCTGCTTGGCAGGGAGATGAGAAAGAAAATGGAAAAGAATCTTGTGCCTCAGAAGGAAATGCCTTTATATTCCTACAGATAAATTGTGACAAGAATCTACACTGCACATGACAATTCCCCTGATATCACACAAAAGCCATATTTAGCTACGTGTCAGAGGTCAAGTTAAATTCTCTAAAAAGCTGTTAGGCAAGCAAGAAACAAACTAATGTTCTGAAAATGGTTTTCACAACATGTAATTTTGTGTTGAATACTTAATAGGGTGTGCTTTCGCAGTGATGACTCTTTCTGCATTTTGGCAGTTCCATTATTTTCTCCAACTCAACCATGTGTTATAGGCCCTTGTAGTCTTAGTCAAAGAGATCATAACCTGGGCATACAGTTCATTTCTAAAAGTAATCTATTTATTGATATGGTTTGCTAAAGAGAATTTCTGTATTCTTAAGAACTGTGGAAAGGCACCAAGAGAAAAACTAAAATAACAGATCTCCCTTCAAGAATACTGGACCACATCACATTTCCTAGTCTTGCCTCAGGAGCTTCTGGAGGGAATTTAGATCTGAGTTTGCTTAAACATATGCAGGAAACCCTTCAGGTAATGGTTGGTTTCATTTGTTTCGATATTATCCCTAATCAGTGATTGGATTCTTTTCTGCAAAACATGAAGTAAACAGTGTCCCTGGCAGACTGATGAATAAATCTGTTGGAGTAAAAACTGTTTACAAGCATTTAATTTATACATGTGTGTAATGCATAATGAATTTCACATTTTAGTGTATTACTATTGATTTCTCTATTCTTCCATGGACCGAAAATATCAAAATCAATACTTTTAAATCCTTAAATTACTGCTTTGTTGTGTGTAATATACAGTACTGTATCCATCTTAAAGTTACTTTCGCAAATATGCTATACTATATATCTATCTATAAAATCAGAAGGGCATTGAAGCATTGAAACATCTTTAAAATCTTGACAGTATGTTAAACGGTTGAACCCTTTAACCTGGAAGACACCATAAAGTACATTACTTATTTTCAGAAAAGGAAACACAGGTTTAGCCACCAGAAGAAAAGAGTATTTAAGAAGATTTTGAATACTGCTTCAGAATGACTTGCAGGCCAGGCTTTGCTTAAGAGTGATACATAAAGAGGAGTTTTATGCTCAGTCAGTTATCTCTGTTCTTTTTTACAGCTTACAGATCAATTTTTAAAAAAGTGACAAATAGTTGAGTAATAATAATTCTGTAAAGATAAGAAAAATGAATACATTGTCTTTACTGTATGTCAGAGGCAGAGGGCAAGCTGTGCTTTTAAGAATGTGTCCAGAAGTTAAAAATGCTCCTGCTTATTATTAGTTTGTAGATTAAGTATAAAAATGACCTTGAAAGGCAAATCAGTGTTTAAAAGCGAGCAGCTTGGTACAGCTACAATAGGCTATATAACTACAAAAGTATGTCTACAAAAGGTAAATACAGTAACAGCAACGGATGTTGTTTTTATTCAGAACATTTAATCCAGACATCAAGGTGTTATTTACTAATGCTATTTTTTAATAATGATAAAATAAATAAACCAGACTATTTCCTAATTTAAGAAATTTTGTTTCCAAAAATAGAAAATACACAGCCTGGGACTATCACAAGTCTAACTTCTTTTGGAACTAATCTATGAAATGTAGCACAAAACTGCTGACTCCCGTTAAAACTGCCCTCCTTCATACAAGCCTCATTTGTTGTTTCTCATTTCACATTCCCATGTTATAAATGAACACCGATTCGGGTATATTAATTACTTTTCTGTTTTCTTTTCCACCCCCCTGTTTGAGGAACTTTCAATATATTCATTCAAGAATTGTTACACCAGTGACCAGCGGGCCATTAGAAAAACAATGAAACATAAAAGCTTCTCAAATTAATCTTCATTAGTTCTGCTTGTCTCATGCAGACAGTTTCATGATTTCAGAGTACTGGGTTAAGAAATTCTAACATTTATTTTATCTACCAGGAGAAAAACTTCACAAAGTGTAATGTCAAAACATGAGCACTGTTTAAAAGTATACCCAGACCCGCTGTAAAAAAATATTTTGATCGAGTTCATTTCAATATTTTAACATCTGTTTGTTTTACTATATAGTTTGCCCTATCTCTGTAATTGTTTTTACTTTCTTTTAAGGAGGCAGTCTTGTGTATCTAGACTCACTTGGTCTTTGAGGCTATTGCAATGACGTAATCCCCTTGGGACCTCAACAGCCCTGGATTCTCTTGATATGGCAAGCCTAGATATTTAGTACAGCACCACTGCCTGAAGAGGCTCTGTGTGGTGAGCTCGGGGCTATGATATGTGTAAGAGATGATGAATAAACCTTAGAAGGATGTTTAAAAAAATGGCAAGGGGGCTCATTCGAGCACAGATTAAGCTGTATCTGAAGACGGCTTCGAGTCTGGGTGATGTTGCCAGCCGACTGTGACTGGAACTCCCCCAGGAGCAGCTGAGTGCCATGAGATTAATCAAACAGGGTCTCTTGGCTGTTAGCAACACAGTGATCCCTGTGTCTTCTCAGACATGCAGTGCTGTCAGCGAGAAATGCACCTTGCTTCCAATCAGCGCTGAACCTCCGGTTTTGGGCCTGTGTTGCCGGCGACATGTTAAAAGACAATGACTCAAAGGTAAAAGGGTTGGAGGAGTCAGCCTACACTTCCTCATTCTGCCCTGTGTGGAGTCATGAAGCTTGTAGCTATGAAACTAGTGCTGTTCTAAATCAGGCGGTTTAACAATTTCTGTAAAAAAAGGTCTCGCAAAGAAAAACATAACCTTCTCTTCTTACCTTGCCAGCACGCACCAACAGTCAGCTGCATGTCAATTTGTGAGGGGTGGATCGGCCAATCATCAGTCACAAGATACGGTTCGTACGTAACTCCATCCACATACAAGGTCACCACGGGAAACTCCACATTTATGACATAATAGTGCCATTCCTTGTCACAAATCTATAAGAAAGAAAAAAAAATCATTTTTATAATGTGCCCGAGTAACAGTTGCTATCCTTAATATTTTGAGCAATTCCCCATACGAAAACCTAAGAAAGGTTTAAAGTTCGTTTTAATGAGAATAAAGCATGGATAAATAATTTCTTTTGGAGAAATGAGACACCAACTGTTGAGAAAAGGCGTTAAACCTAAATTCTCCCTCGTTCTATGCATTAGGATTCTCTAATTGCCCCCAGTGGGAACATCCTGATGAGAATTACCCTCCTTCAAGAAGGCCTTGCTAAATGGTCCTATAATGGTGTTCCTGCTATCATACCAGATGTACAGTGTATAACTGTTTTCTGGCATGTTCAGTCACTACTGGCTTTAGTGATTAAGCATGCATGTAGTAAGATGTTTAAATGGTCACATTACTATCTCTAACTTATCAAATGACAGCGTAACTTCAGAGAAAGACTTCTAATTATCAAGAATGCCAAAAGGACAGAAAAGTAAAGATTGCATAATACATTGTAATACATATTGAATTTACAAGTTGTAAACACTGTGAACTGTCTTCAGAGAACAGGTGTTATGTAAGGCCAAGTACTATACAATGCAGGGAGCCAGTTTTTACCAATACCGAGAAACAGATGAGATGGTGCCTTGAGCCTTAGTGACTAGGTTGCGTGAGCAGCACAGTATTTAGAGCTGAATTCTTGTCAGGATCTACAGTTGATCTGTTTACCAATCGTGTACTACAAAGGATTTTAACTAAAAAACACACATGCCTCAAGAGACCGGGGAATGTATCCTGGCCTTTGTCTAGATATTTAAGCCTCTGCTAATGCAGCCTGATTTTAAATAATCAGCTTAACTTTACAACGTGTTTGCTCATCTGTCTAAAGTGATGCATTTCAACAGATGCTGGTCCCTATGCGTCCAATTAGATTAGCTTTTTATCTCCAAGCAGACCAATCTTGAGCAGCAATTGACACATGGTACAGTATTTCACAGTCTTAAATTTAATCTGTACTGTATTTCATTTGTATGAGAAGAGAAGAAAAGAGACTGCCAATCATCCAATCATATGGACAAATATTTATGTGCCAGTCAGCTACCACTGCAGGGTCTTTTCCCACTGGGTTATATAAGCAGTGCTCATCTAGCCCTGCCATTTCATACAAATACAATCATTTTCTTATTGTGTTCTTTTATTATTCATTCTATGCTAGAAAATAAAAGACTGGCTTAAAGAACTGCTAACTTTATTTGTTGAAAAATTTGCATGAAGCACAGAAATGTGTTATGAGCCAAGCATCCCTACAGTTTCATAAATCATCAGGGAATACAAGCTGCAATCTGCAATGATGCAAAGAACTTAAAACATTAAATGCAGTTTTTCATTTATACCTAAGGAAAAAGTCTGTTCAATTCTAAGTTAGGGGTTTCCAGCCATCGTAATGGAGAGGCCACGTTCAGCAGGCTTAATAGGTGACCACTAAATCATCAATTTCTAAAGCCTTGGAACAAATTAACCGTGATCAAGTAAACAGGTAGCTTGTTCTATTAAGTAATTTAGAGATCAATTGGAACTAAAAGCAATATGCCCTTCAGCCCACAAGGACCAGAGTTCCCTTAATTGAACAATGTACTTGCTTAATTGATCAATAACTTTTAAGTGCCCCTAATCTTCAGAAATAGGTGATTTAGAATTTAGAGGAGGACTGGAAAGCCCTGTGCTAAATACATCATGTAAATAAGTACATACAGTACTGTATGTCACATACTTGTAATTTTTGCCTTGTATATGAAACACTGTTAAAAGTGCTGCTCTCAAACCTTAGGGCATTTTGCATTTTATTATCATTTAAAGAGAGCATAAATAGCACCAAGTTATCACATGTAAAGCCAGTCTTAACTAAATATCTTTAAATCAGACACTAATTATTTTAAAGAAATGAATAAATAAACAAGCAATTAAAACAGCATGAGGCAAAAACATCATCAGTATTAATGAGCAGGTGTGAGGAACTGACATTTACACAATACGTCCTGTAGATCATTAAAACAGATTACACATTCTGTGAGTATCATTTACATTCTGGTAAATACAGCAGCTTTTAACTGATTGCATATGCATCATAATTTTGAAATCGGAAAAAATAACTGACAGCTTTTAAAATACAACTGTCTTCTATTAGGAGCTACAATTAATTTGGTCAAGGAAAACATCACAACCCTAGACAGTAAAACACACAGTCACATCTGCACTCAATGCACAAAATACAGTAATTATTAAAATGCAGTAACAGGTTTTTATTGTGTTCCATTTCTTTTTCATTTTCTATCTGTCAAAGTTTGTAGAACATTTTGGTGAATTTCCAAATTATGTGAAACTGTAATTGGAGAGTTTAAAGATTTGAGCTAAGGGCGATTAATAACCTTGGACCTAAAGGTGAAAACAACATCTTACTGAAAAGGACTATGTTTTTCTCCTAACAAAGCCTTACACATAGTGTACGTGAACTAGATAGTTAATTCTGGTGTAGGCAGGCACCCCTGCTGGGCTACTTTCAGATTAAAGTCATAAGCATCATCTGCCTCTCTAATAAGGTACTGGTGATAACAGCATGATAAGGTCACTTAGAATTGAGCCAATTCCTCCAGGTTTCTTTTAAAATGATAAACATGTTTCCAGTAGGCAGTACTGCCCTCATGTTACTTTGTTTTCTAACAGCTAATTTAAATGCACAGTGTTTAGATGCATCATGTTTGAACACTGGAATCTGGTCATTTGCAAAATACAAAGTTGCATTCAAATCAGAATATTGAACTGCATTTTGCTTTCCACAAAAAATTCAGTGCTTCTTAAAAAGGGGTGGGGTGTTATCCATTGATGATATCTGGTTGACTTAAATTATACATTAAATAAAAACCACTGAAGAATGCAAAGGTGTAAAACTTAGATTTTATTAACTATTTATGAGTGTTGTCCAATATGGACAGAAAAAGAATGGGCCCTCTTTTTCTAAAGTCTTTTTCCACAGACTACAACATTTTATTTAATTTCATTTTTAGTGATTAGAAAATATATTGGCGATTATATAAATTCCTTATTCAGCTCTTCGTTTTGCACTGGTAAATGAGAATGTCTGCAAAGCTGCACTGAAGAGCAGTCGCATCCTAACCCTGCCCTGTCTGGAATCTGGCTGACCTTTACTAAAAGCAGCGCTTTATTGCTAAATGATTTCACACTGGAAGTGGGAAAATCCCAAATGACTGACACTTTCCCTCCCAAGGAGACACCTGAAGATCTATCTTTGCCCCTCAATGCATGCTGTGCCAGACTTCATCCATCAGACTACATATGGTAGAAGGGGCCACACTCTTTGATCCTTTATCCCCTACATGATCTGAGGCTAATGTAACGGGATAACAGCCGATAATGGCCTGAAGCTTTCTCTTCAAATTTCTCAATCTCTTATCTTTGTCCCCCAGAGTCTATATTTGTTATTAACCTTTTCTCTCCTCATCTTTGTGGAGACTGATACACTGCATATTCAGGATCCCGGCCATCATTCATGTTCCACCATCTGAACATAAACCCCGCTGACATACTGTAGGGTTCTGGCAAACTGAAGGAATATTTTCACACCTTCTTCAAAAATGTAGTTACCTTGTGATGAATAAATTAATAGTAATAAATAGTTAATATAATTTTCAGTTCCTTGTTTACAACTCCCTTTTCAATTAATCAAATGAATGCCAATAATTTATTTTCAGCTAAAATGAATACACACTAGTGATAAAGTTTAGGAAGCCACTGAACTAGAAAAACCCATTGGTTCTTCATAGTTACCTAGAAAGGAGATTATAGGTACACCTACTACTGCTGCTTTTACCATTTATATTACTACTTAATTATTACGATATTATAAATAACAACAGTGCTGTAATTTAGAAACTATGATAGGTATAAGTTCAGTCATAATTTTCTGAAGGAATCTGTCATTTCCAGAGTTATGTATCACACAGTTTGATGGCTATGGTATAGTGAAAAACTGACATTTTTGTTAAGTCTCTTTTGTGTGTGTATAAATTAAACACAGGAACATAAACTGGCAGGTTTATGAAACAGAAATATAAACAACTAACACACTTTAAATGCTAGTAGTCATCGTTTCTACAGAATATGCAAATAATAGCAGGGCTATGAGCTACTGGACAGAAAAAGGCAAAAAAAAAAAAAACAAAAAAACCACAGCCCACACACAAAAAAAGCGCACAACACAAAAACCAAAAAAGGGAGATCTGCCAAAAAAATGAAAAACAATAGGCGCAGAAAAATATAGCACAGGGAGAGTGTGACACACACAATATCTCCACAACACCCACACACCTCTGTGTAAAAACATATAGTCGCGGCCACAGGGGGAGATCGCAGAACACCGCGCTCCTCTTCAAAAGAGATACACAACATACACAAAATGTCACATGCACATTGGACAATATAGAAAAAAAAAAAAAACAAAAAGAAAAAAAGAGACACAAAAAGAGAATATGAGAATATGGAGAGGGTGCACAACAAAAAGAGGGCACAATAAAAAAAAAAAAAAAGAGACACACAGCACACAAAAAAAAACAGACAAAAAAATCTAAAAAGACACAACAACACCGAGAGGGGAAAAAAAAAAAAAACATATCACACCCGGAGAGAGAAAAAAATATACGCCCCACAGACACATGTTCACAGGATATATATAGGGCCCCAGAAAAAGCAAAAAAACATTTTTTAAAACCACAGCGCTTCACACGAGAGCACATATAAAAAAAAACCACACAGAAAAACCCACAAAAAAGAAAACACAAAAACTCCCCACAAAAAACACATAAAACACCCCACAAAAAGCAGATAGAAAAAAAAGAGAGAAAAAGAAAAACACAAAAAAGAAAAACAAAAAGAGGCGCCGCGTGCCACAAAAACCAAAAACTCTGAAAAAACACAACAGAAGAACACA